ATCCTTTGATATTTTTGGATATTTTGAAGAATAATGTCATTTTTCGATGTTTCTTTTTTTAAATGTCAATTTTGACAGGTTAAGGAAATCACGTGACCTATTTTGTAGACGCCATTTGACATCATTTCTTAAGCAAAATCTACTGCCAAAATCAAATTTCACATAAAACGATAAATAAAAAAGTTTCCCATTTGATGCGGACTTTATCGGTGAAACTGTATATACAGGGTATATCTTGAATAATGTCTTCAATTTCAGGTGGTGATTGCTTGACATATTTCATGAAAAAAAAATTATATGAAAGTATAATTTGCTTCGTTTCCGAATAACGGGGTGTCACAGTTTTACCTAAAAGGTTGTTTTTTTCAATAATAATCCAATTCGAATACATATGAAATAAACAATCACTTTATTACTTCGGTCACTCAAATTGCGACTGAACCTCCGGATACTCTTCTTAACTTCTTCAAAACAACGCAAATTCAAGGAATTTGACTCTTAAATTCCACCAAATCAATATAGACTATATCGTAACATGATAGTCAACTCCTTAAAATGAATGCTACTGGATCATATTTTCGCAATCGAAAAACATGGAGAGTCAAGAGCTGTTGCGCTTGATATTCCTGAGATCTTTGACCGTGTGTGCTGGCCAAACTTCAATACTGTGGCTTATCGGAACATTTTTGTGTATGACTCTCAAGCTTCCTGAAAGAACTTTTCTGCAAGTGGCCGTCGCCGGATATATTTCGAATAATTTTACCATCAACACTGGTATTCCCCAAGATGCCATATTGCCTCCAACCCTCTTTTTATTGTATATCCACGACCTATTGGAAATAACTAAGGATACAATATATTGCTTTGCTGACAACAGAACACTTATCTCGTCATTCCATTTGGATTCCAGAATATTGGCTAAGGATGTACATTTTTACCGGCAGCAGGAGGTTACATATCTTAATGAGGATCTTTCTGACCAATCTGTAGAAGTTTCTCATCGATACAATTAAAATTGCAGTTTAGGCAATATGATTTCCAAAAAATTCCGGTTTCGCAACACTGTGCGACGTGTAAACTCTTCTAAACCACGTTTCAATCACCAACATCAAAACAATACATTCAATATATCATCGCTTCTACCAATTTTTTGAATAGAATGAGTCAAACAGCAAGTTTGATCTTCAATGACTTGCAAACGCATAACTATTGAGAACTGTTGTAATTTGTAGGATAGCGATGTGTAAACTCTACTAAACTAGGTTTCAATCACCAACATCAAAACAATACATTTAATATATCACTGCTCCTACCCATTTTTTGAATTAAATGAGTATAACAGCAAGTTCGACCTTCAATGACTAACAACCCCTTAGCTATTGAGAACTGTTGTAATTTATAGCAAAGCGAAGTGTAAACTCTTCTTAACCAGGTTTTAATCACCAACGTCAAAACAATACATTTAATATATCATCGCTTCTACCCATTTTTTGAATTAAATGAATCTAACAGCAAGTTCGATCTTCAATAACTTACAATTCCATAACAATTGAGAACTGTTGTAATTTATAGGAAAGCGAAATGTAAACTCTACTAAACTAGGTTTCAATCACCAACATCAAAACAATACATTAAATATATTTGCAACAACAAAACACACTTAATTAATAACCATTTTCAAAGAATCATCAAAAACAAGATCTATCAATTGAAGTAAACATGGCTTTCTGCAACAAGAACATAACAGACCTTCAATTTTTCTAGGAATATGAAGTGACAATCGAGTTACAGTTCAGTGCCGAACTAGCCTTCTATGTAACTAACCAGTCAGGAAAAGTTTCATTTTTATGAATAGCACGATTCTTACGAAAAAATCGTAGTTTTTTCTCTGTTTTTTCATTATTGTGATACATAACAATTTAAATATTTGCTTTAAACAAATTTCCAACCTCCCTATAGCAGGGTTTTACTTTCAATCAACAACACTTCTTCACTTGTTTTCCTCAAGAACTAATAAGGGTGTCGTCAATCAATTAATATTGAATTGGACATATTTGATTTTGGGTTTTCTCATTGATTTACTCATATATAATTATTTAGATACTTCGGTCCAAAGTAAGAAAAACATTCCTCAAATTTGGTGGTAACATGATATGGAATGGTAAATGTATCTTTCCTTAAATTGATAAAATGATTATCAGATCGGTTACTAATTAATCTGAACAAGTAATTAGGAGTTTTGTTTTCCAATAGTTTGTATAAGGATACAGATATGAGATAACGAATTCTAAACCCAATATTCAGCTGATCTAATTTCAATAAATATGGAGTTACATGATCACGATAGTTTATGCAGCACACAAATCTCATACATGCATTTTGTATGCGTTGAAGTTTGTGTTTATCATAGTCTGGCAAGAAGTTGTAATACTCTGAGCAGCATACTCCATATGTGGATAAATCAATGATTGAACTAATTTCAGTTTTGTTTCTTGAGAAAGCTGGAATTTGGACTTGGACAGTTTAAAAAAGCAAGTTTTGTAAATGTGTTCAACATGCTCGTTGAACGAGAGAGTGTTATCAATATATACACCTAAATTTTCTGCTGAATTCACCCAGTCAATCGATTCATTGTCAAGAAAAAGAGGGAAATTTGTTTCAACTTCATTTCCTTGTAGGTCAGATCCCAAACATAGGGCTACTGTTTTATTTGGATTTATTCGAAGGCCATGATTTTTGGAAAATAGAAATGTATTTTCAAAATCTAAGTTCATCCTGGTGATAGCATGGTAAATATTATTAGATTGACTTGACAGATATAATTGAAAATCATCAGCATATAAATGTACGTCGCACTGGAATAACGTGGCAGGAGAGTCAAAAATGAAAAGAGATAATATTAATGGACCTAAAATGCTACCTTGTGGTACACCAGAAGAAGTTTCCTGAAGAGATGATTGATCATTATCCAGTATAACCCGTTGAGTCCTGCCTGTGAGAAAGCTTCTCACCCAATCTAAAGAACTGCATTCAAACCCAATGTATTATAGTTCACTCAGCAATAGTTTGAAGTTTACCAGATCGAATGCTTTGCTTTGATCAAGCATAACCAAAAATGAGACCATTCAGATATAACGATTCAAAAAGTTGTAAAAGTTGTAATAAGTCATAATATGCACACGTTTCCACGCCATCTATGAGGTAGTGTACTTAGCGCGTTATTTTAACGTAGTTACCTGGTAGGCCTATTCCACGGGTCAGTTGTGATCCTGTTTAATTTGAAACTATTACAAAATAATGGATATTAGCAGAGATGAAAGATAAAAGCAATTTGAGTTGAAAAAAAAGGAGTGAAATTCAATCGTTCGAGTCGTAACTTCCAAATTCTTCTTTTTCTTCTTCTTCTTAATCTTCTTATTCTTGTTCGTCTTGTTCTTCTTCTTCTTCTTGTTCTTCTTCATCTTCGTCCTAAGTACATGTAAACTGCGTTAATAGCGATGTATCGCATGTCGCCTCGTTGGAATCAAACGGTTCCTCCTCTGTTGGTGATTCAAAATTAGAGAACGACCGGCCTTGACAATGTGTACATTCCAAAGAACAAAATAATTCGGCTTTTTTGCAACCACATTTAGTACTGCAACCATTTTTGCAGTTGCAAAAAATTGTGTTCAGCAGTTTTTCCGGCGCAGGTGGAAGTAAAGTTTGAACTGGTCCTAATGAATTGTTGACCAATTTCCAACCCCAGTCTGTAGGGTTTAGTTGCTAACCAAGCCACACTTTGAACTTGGTAATATTCCCGAAATAGATGTTGATGAGCAGCAACTGAATTTGGAGGAAGACAAGGTAGTTGTACTTGTTTTTTACTTTTGGTATTTTTAACGAAACATGCATATCTATGCTTATCTAAGCAGGTAGTTTTTTTAGGAGCTCCGTACATAGGAAGAAGAAAGCAAATGTCGTTAGAGATAATTTCTTGTCGAGTTGATTTACTATTTTGAAAAATTTCAGCACATTGAACTAAATNGAAAAAAAGTTATATGAAGTACTGGTGATATTTTGACCCCATCTATACATTCCCGAGAGGAATAGAGGAAGTCCAGGGACACCCTGTATATTGCTTTGCTGACAACAGAACACTTACCTCGTCATTCCATTTGGATTCCAGAATATTGGCTAAGGATGTACATTTTTACCGGCAGCAGGAGGTTACATATCTTAATGAGGATCTGGAGATGATTTCGAATTGTAGTGAAATTAACCAGGTCTAGAGAAGTATTGCAGTGCTGGGGTTTGGAAATAGTTTTTGTTTTGAATACATTTCACGCCAAAGGTTTATCATCTCAATTCTTTATGAATATGATGTTTGCATATTATGTATAAACTCGTAGATACATCTATTTCATGTCACTATACAGGGTCTTTCACGACGAGCGTTCGTTAGGAATATATGGAGAACGATTCAAACTAAAAACTTGACATTTTGTGGTAGTAGGTTTTACAAAATGGCCTTCTCAGCTAAAATTTTTTCAACTTTCGGTCTCTTTCCGTTATACCAGAAGTTGAAGGCTACTTCCTTATTTCAAATATAACACCCTGTATTTTATTACATTTTTGAATTTTTCAGCATATTTTAGGACCACTTTGTATAACAATGTCTATACTCAAATCTGTTAGTTTTCGAGATATTATTTTTTTTTCTGAATAATTTGACAGTTACAGCACCACTCCGAATAAATCTTAACTCATAGACAATAACAGTTGAAAATGTGAAATGATTTCACAAAATCTCACCTTGAGCATCAAGTCATGAACAGGTCTATCGAATTTTCGAAAATAATTTACAGGGTGGTTGAAATTTCCACCTAAAACATAACATCGAAAAAACTGATAAAACAAGATTTTTTCAAATGTAAACCATACACCATTCTATTATTTTTGGATACTATGAAAAACAAGATATCTAATTCATGAAGAATATCCTATACCTGAAATAGAACCCTGGCTAGATCCGATTCTGGAAAATATTTGAAATGTAAATCATTCGAAGCAATATCAAATCAAAAAAGCTTCGAAAACAAATGAAATTACAACAAATATGTCAAAATTTGATGCGATATAATTGACGTGTATTTCGTAGTTTTCTATTTGTGTGCAAAATGTTTCGTTTGGGGTATTCTAATGAAGATTTCCTGAATTTGATAATCATTTATGGTGAATTCAATAAGATAATGGACAGAACTTGTCGTGTTTTCCCAGAAAGATTTCCAAACCTAGACAGACCCAATAAAAATATTCTGAGAATCTGTAATCACCCAATAAAAATATTCTGACAAGACTTCCAAAAAACTGCCGTGATTTCGGATCTTTTTCGTCTATCATCAACAAAATAAAACCACTCATAAACAGTGAGTTTGTTTTTTGTTGATGTTTTGACCTACTTCACAGCCTATCCAGAAAATTCGTTGAAAAACGCAGAAAAGTCACTTAGAATTTCATGTTCGTCAATAAATCAGATTTTAATCAAACATAAGTATCGTCCGAATATTACTGGAGTTTTTTCCCAACACCAAATCGTTATTTTTACACCTCGACACGTGTTTCGATCACCAAGTGATCATCTTCAAGACTTTTATCTTCCTCTTGAAGATAACCAGGTACCAGTCACGAGGACTGCAACTCATTTTTTGGGGGCAAGAATGACCTGAGTCCACTGACCGCACTGAAAAAGAAGAAGGTGGGTCAATCACTTGTGAATTAACCTTGATAGGAGACTGATGAATATCCACGTATCTCGGCTTGTTTCGAAGAGGATGCATGATCTCATCAAAATTATGTGAAGGAGGAATAGTTCCAAGAACTGAAGCAGCATTGCCACTTCGAATAGCAATACTAATTCTTTCTATCAAAAAAGAGGAACAACGGTGATCTTTCGTTGTTTGGCCTATTCTCCTTCCGAGTTCATGAACGAATAACAGAGACTCAGGGCCATAAACACCAAAAGTTTCAACCGCTACTGGATGAAACAGATAGTTGTTTCCAAGATTTTGGTATTTTTTCCTCTTCAATTTCTCGCCAGACAATGCTGCAGTTCCAGCAGACTTGGAACTTTCGGCTAGATGGGAAACCGCGACCGTGTCGATGCAAGTAAAGTCCCATACCACAGGTTTACCGTATTTCCATGGTATGAGAGACATACCATCTGGTCGTTTACCATCATTTCGACTGGTACCTAAGTGTTCCAGAATTGCAGGAACATCCGCTGACAACATAGCTCGTTTTAATATGTCGTTCACTTGGTGATGTCGAGATGTACGCCCTGCACTTCTCCTGCAACTTAAACCATGTGTACCTTTCTCATCAACTATACTACCGCAAACACAAGTATGAGAAACACAAATAGATGAACCCATCCTAAGTCCTACTGCTATTTTGAAAGATTTCGAAAAGATTTAATTGCCTCCGATACTTCATGTTCTGAAAATTGGAACACCGGAAACTCTGAAAAATCGTGTGGTAGTTGCGAATCCAGAGAATGTGTGGAGGAATCTGATCGAGGGTGTTTTGATCGGAGAACTGAAAGTGTGGATTCATCGTATTCGGTTATATTTCCTTTCATCGATTTGAGATGGAATGACATTGGTCTTGGAATTAAGAAGTTTGATGTTTTTCTTTATAAGAGATGCGAGAGAAGATCTACGGAAGTCCTTGGCATGTGGGATGGAGAACAAAGTATAAGGGAAAGGTAACAAGTTTTCCCAGCTTGTTGGAGAGTTTGTATGTAAACATTCTTCTATAATTTCGCAAAGGGCAGAGGCAGAGTAATTTCTTGCAGATTTGGGAATCTGCAAGAAATAATACAGGGTGTTCTATTTAAAATTAGGAAGTTGCCCTCAACTTCCGGTATAAGGGAAGGGACCGGAAGTTGAAAATATTTTAGTTGAGAAGGCCTTTTTGTAGAATCCACTACCACAAAATTATAAGTTTTTATTTTGAATCGGTCTCCATATATTCCTAACGAAAGCTCGTCGTGAAAGACCATGAATTCATACATTTTCAACTCAACTTCAATTCCTTTTTCAGGGTATATAGCTAAGTTGAGAGCGTTCGGACAGTTCAGCCCCTGGAAACAACTAGAATTCATGCTGTCTTTGGGTAGAACGTATACAGAGGTAGTATTGAAGAACGAAAATGTTCAGAATCTTTTAAACTCGAACGAAACATTCGATTTGGTGATTGTCGAACACTTTTGGAATGAAGCTATGGCCATATTTGCTCATCGTTTCGAATGTCCATTAGTATATATGGCTCCAGGACCAACTTCAGTTTTCAACAGTCATCTGTTAGCAAATCCTTCATTCCCATCATATATACCTAATTTCTTAACGGCCTACAGTTCGCGAATGAATTTCTGGGAGAGGTTGAGAAATAGCTACCTCAATTTATTGTGTATGTTATTTGTAGAATTTAGGCTGATTCCAGATCAGAGCGATCTATTGAAAACTACATTTCCTAATGCTCCTGACCTCAGAGCAATATTGTACAACGCAAGTTTGATGTTGATCATGTCACATGCCAGTATTCATGATCCTGAACCTCTTCAACTGAATGTTAAAAACATAGGAGGACACCACATTGGTCCTTTGGAACCTTTACCAGCAAATATTCAACAGTTTATGGATAACGCCACAGAAGGTGTGATCGTTTTCTCTCTAGGGTCAAACCTGAAAGCAGCAGATTTGGATCCCGCCAAAAAAATAGCAATATTGAGTGTCTTCTCCAAAATCAAGCAGAAAGTTCTATGGAAATTTGAGACGGACCTTGACGAAAAATCCAGTAATGTTATGATCCAAAAGTGGCTACCTCAACAAGAAGTACTTTGTGAGTATTCAAGTTACCAATAAATTCACATACAGAGCTTTCAAATAATGATAAAAAAATTGAAAAATGTTTTCATCCTTCCAAATTTGAGATACAAACTGCCTTTTGGTTGCCTTTTGGTGCCATCGAACGCTGGTGTTTTTTCAAAAAATCAAAACATTAGCTTCAAATGTACTCAAATTACAAGAGATAATTCTAATGATAGTATTTATTCAACAGAAATAGTATTGAATTCATTCAGAAGTTTTGTCCGCCCTAAGTATTTCTGTAGCCCCATATCTCAATAAAATATTCATTCTACTGTGTATACTGATCGAAGATGAGCCAAGAAGTGGACGACCTACCAAAGTAACGGGGATTTTAGGACCCTGATGTAGATTGGCCTATCACAAACGATCCGTGGGATGACGAAAGAACTGAGCGTCAGCTTATATGCGGTTTTTGGTGGTTTGGAACGTATTGGAAAGGTGAAATAGCTCGGAAAGTGGATGCCCCCCGATTTGAACGATCGACATACATTGTCCCGTTTTGAGGTCTGTTCTTCTTTGCTTTTGCGCAACAAAAAGGATCCTTTTTGAATCGGATCGTCACATGAGATGGGAAGTGGATCCTCTACGACAACAGGGACGTTCAGGACATTGATGGGACACCGATGAGCCATCCAGAAAACTCACCAAAAGCATACCAAGCCTAATCAGCTTCATCTGATTGCTGGTAATCTCTAGGTTTGAATGGCCGCATGCCTTGCATAACTTTTCTACCTCATGCCGATAGTATGCCCAGTAGTACCTCTATCGAACATGTCTCAGATTTCCATTGCTGCCTAGATGTTCAACTAACGTGAAGTTAGACGTTTGCTTTTGGTGAGACTGATTCATGTATTTCTGTTTCTACCCTGAGCTCTCTCACTTGCAATACAATGACACTAAGAAAAAGTTACATTGAACTCAGTACTCCTTAACAACCGCTCCATATACGCAAACTTGCTGCCAATAAGATTGTATCTCGTTTGTGAGTCAATTTGAACTAGTTTCAGATCATCATCTTCCATCTGACTCCCCTTCATATCATCCAGAGTCCATATCTGCCCAATGGATCTTTCAATTGTTATTAGTCCGGTCAATTTATACATTCGAAGCTACCTAAATTCCCACCAAGCTAAAAATCAGTAAGATCCTCAAATTTGGTGTTAACATGATATGGAATGGTAAATGTATCTTTCCTCAAATTGATAAAATGATTATCAGATCGCTTACTAATCAATCTGAACAAGTAATTAGGAGTTTTGTTTTCCAATAGTTTGTATAAGAATACAGATATGAGATAACGAATTCTAAACCCAATATTCCGCTGATCTAATTTCAATGAATATGGAGTTACATGATCACGGTAGTTTATGCAGCACACAAATCTCATACAAGCATTATGTATGCGTTGAAGTTTGTGTTTATCATAGTCTGGCAAGAAGTTGTAATACACTGAGCAGCAATACTCAATATGGGGATGAATCAATGATTGAACTAATTTTAGTTTTGTTTCTTGAGAAAGGTTGAACTTGGACTTGTATTAGGATTTCAGTTTAAAAAAGCAAGTTTTGGTAAATGTGTTTAACGTGCTCGTTGAACGAGAGAGTGTTATCGATATATACACCTAAATTTTTTGCTGAATTCACCGAGTCAATCGGTTCATTGTCAAGAAAGAGATGGAAATTTGTTTCAACTTCATTTCTTTGTAGGTCAGATCCCAAACATAGGGCTACTGTTTCATTTGGATTTATTCGAAGGCCATGATTTTTGGAAAATAGAAGTGTATTTTCTAAATCTGAGTTCATCCTGGTGATAGCATGGTGAATATTATTAGATTGACTTGACAGATATAATTGAAAATCATCAGCATATAAATGTACCTCGCACTGGAATAACGTGGCAGGAGAGTCAAAAATGAAAAGAGGGAATACTAATGGACCTAGAATGCTACCTTGTGGTACACCAAACGAAGTTTGCTGAAGAGATGAGCATAATTGATCATTATCCAGTATAACCCGTTGAGTCCTGCCTGTGAGATAGCTTCTCACCCAATCTAAAGAACTGCATTCAAACCCAATGTATTATAGTTTACTCAGCAATAGTTTGAAGTTTACCAGATCGAATGCTTTGCTTTGATCAAGCATAACCAAAAATGAGACCTATTCCACGGGTCAGTTGTGATCCTGTTTAATTTGAAACTATTGCAAAATAATGGATAATAGCAGAGATGAAAGATAAAAGCAATTTGAGTTGAAAAAAAAGGAGTGAAATTCAATCGTTCGAGTCGTAACTTCCAAATTCTTCTTCTTCTTCTTCTTGATCTTCTTATTCTTGTTCATCTTGTTCTTCTTCTTCTTCTTGTTCTTCTTTATCTTCGTCCTGAGTACATGTAAACTGCGTTAATAGCGATGTATCGCATGTCGCCTCGTTGGAATCAAACGGATCCTCCACTGTTGGTGATTCAATATTGGAGAACGACCGGCCTTGACAATGTGTACATTCCAAAGAACAAAATAATTCGGCTTTTTTGCAACCACATTTAGTACTGCAACCCTTTTTGCAGTTGCAAAAAATTGTGTTCAGCAGTTTTTCCGGCGCAGGTGGAAGTAAAGCTTGAACTGGTTCTAATGAATTGTTGACCAATTTCCAACCCCAGTCTGTAGGGTTTAGTTGCTAACCAAGCCACACTTTGAACTTGGTAATATTCCCGAAATAGATGTTGATGAGCAGCAACTGAATTTGGAGGAAGACAAGGTAGTTGTACTTGTTTTTTACTTTTGGTATTTTTAACGAAACATGCATATCTATGCTTATCTAAGCAGGTAGTTTTTTTAGGAGCTCCGTACATAGGAAGAAGAAAGCAAATGTCGTTAGAGATAATTTCTTGTCGAGTTGATTTACTATTTTGAAAAACTTCAGCACATTGAACTAAATTTTGTTTTTCAAACATTCATTGCCTGTACAAATAGTACATGATTTTGACACTTTGCAAAAGTAGGTAAACTTTTCAACATATATTACAACTACAGAGATGTATATACGTGGCGTACTCATGCATATTATGACGATTACAACTTTTACAACTGTCGTTATATCTCAGAAACGGTGGCTCGTAGGAAAAAAGTATCGATACATTTCTGGTAGATAACTTTATGATCTACAAGTTTTGTGTTCAGTATTTTTATGATAAATTTTATCGTTTTGCTGAAAATCGCGAAAAACTAAATTTTTTGATCTTCGACCTTGAATAAAATTTTCTCCATACAGAAGAAAGATGGAACTTTCAAATTTCATTGTTAATCAAATTTTGAACAATCTTGCTGATTTTCAGCTTGGTGGGAATTTAGGTAGCTTTACTCCTATTTTTTGGTCTAATTTGACCGGACTATATATAAAGTAGGATGAAGTTCTTCTTCTTCCTTCGTTATTACAAGCTCTACACTATTCATTTCTGTACGCTGACCTAGTAAGGTTCATTCTGCCTTTTCCTAGCTGTCATACTTTCACTTTCCATCCAATTATCAATAATGATGCAGATTTATCAAACAGTCTTACAGTTCCAATTTGGTATCATATAGAAGTACCTTATAATCATTGGAAAAAATATGAACTGTCATTGAATGATTCTCTTATTCTCTTCGGAACTATAGTTTCGGTAATTATTTTTTATTAATTGATTTTTTGTCTCTTCCATAATGTTTCAGCACATCCGAATACGGTTGCATTCATAAGTCATGGTGGCCTCTTGGGTTGTATGGAAGCTGTTCATTTTGGTGTACCTATTCTTGGGCTTCCAGCATATTGGGACCAGAACAAGAATATTGAAGGAGCTGTAAGGAGCGGTATAGCTGTCAAAATGGATGTACAAGATCTAACGGAACATACCTTTCGCATCGCTTTAGAAGAGATACTGAACAATAAAAAGTACGACTCCCTCTAACATTTTGAAGTACAGTGAATATTGTGAATAATGAATTGATGGATGTAGCCGTTACTACGTGGTAGGAAATCATAATGAAAAGAGAAATGAAAATTTCTATGTTTTTTAACACTTTTATTTGTAACTAACGTTACTGCAGTTTCGTCGGATACGGACATTTTCAAACTTATACAATAAACTGTATGTATAAGTTTGAACTTATACATTGACATTTTCAAACTTATACAATAAACTATATGTATAAGTTTGAAACTGTCCATATAGGACGAAACTGCAGTAACGTTAGTTACAAATAAAAGTGGTTAAAATTATAGAAATTTCCATTTCTCTTTTCATTATAGTGAATAACTTTTCTGTAAGTAAAAAGAGTGTCTTTCCATTAGCCATGGAAAAAATAAAAAAATGATGTGAATCGAATAAGCTAACGCTAAATATTTCTGAAACAAATCTGGTAACAATCAAGTGGGACTTAGAACAAGTAAAACTAGATGAACACATGAATGAAAGTAAGCCGGTAACTAAATTTCTTGATATATTCATTGACAGTAATTTAAAATTTGATACGCAAATTATTGCTTCAAATAGTATTTATCTTCTGGTTGCTTTGCCACAAATGTCATATCTCGTGAACTCGAATTTTCATCAGCAACAAATGCATACTATTCACTTATGGAGAGTCATCTCCTGTATTGATAATCAAGTTGCAAGATTATCACCTTGATACCTGCCTTAGATTCAACCGTGCAGGGCTTTCTCGCTACTTGAGCGCAAACGTTCGCTAAACTGCTTATGGGGGATTTGTTTCTCCACCTGAGTCCGATTCTGTGAATTTTCATCATTTTCCAGACAGAGGCGATACACACTGTCTTCCGACAGTTCAAGTCTCTGCATGTGATGATTCAAATGACAGTGACCTCTAAGAAGGACTGTTAGACATCGTAGTTCATTCCTACTGTAGTCCAACAACTGTTTGGAATCAAGCTTCGAAGGGTGAATAAACGCCTTGGAGTGAGTGAGCCAATCCTGGAAGATTCTGTCAGAAGTCCATAACTCTTCTTGCCATCCAGGTGTTGAGTGTTTGTCTGGCAAAGCCCAAAGCGATGCCAATGACAGGTTCTAGTCCAATGAAGCCGCTTACAGCACCCTCCTTTGCAAGAGAGTCAGCAGTTTCATTGCCTTCCAGGCCAATATGGCCAAATGAGCGTTCCAGATGAAGTTTTATCAAGGACAATGCCAAGATATTTCACCTCCGTTCCAAATGGAATGACCAAACCATTGAGGGAAAGTGGCGTTAGATCGTCCAATGTCTTTTTCTTGGTAAAGGGGATTAACACAGTTTTGCTGGGGTTGACAGACATCTGCTCCCTCAGGCAACAACTGTGAACAACGTCCAATGCGCTTTGGAGAATATTACAAGCTACCCTTTCCGACGTGGACCTTGCCAGGATGACAAGGTCATCTGCATAAGCTTGCAGAACAACTTTTTTTCTGTCAAGGGCATCAAGCAGACTATCCACCAGGAGCGACCACAGAAGGGGAGATAGTACCTCACCTTGAGGGCAGCTCCTGGTGACTCTGAACCTGATAGCCTCGCCTTAAAGAGTCGTAATTGCAGTTCTGTTTACTAGCATGGCATAGATCCAGCCAGTTATGGTCGATTCTATACCCTTTCTATCCAGAGACAATCCTATAGATTTAGGTATTGTCAAATGCTCCTTCAATATCAAGAAATACAGCAACCACAATCTCCTTGTTGTCAAGGGATTGGGAGATTTTCTCAACGAGGTTGTTTAATGCTGAATCTGTCGATTTGCCGGTTTGATAAACATACTGGTGGTTATTCAGTGGGGATGCATGTAATGCTACCCTCCTGATATGTCCATCCAGTATCCTCTCAAGTCCTTTCAGTAGGAAGGATGTAAGGCTGATTGGTCGTACCGATTTGGGGTGTGGGTCTCTCCGGTCCACTTTAGGTATATATACCACCCTTGCTGCCAGCCAACTGGGTGGAATATAGTTCCACGCCAGACTAGCTCTATACAATTTTGTGAGAAAAGGTAAAATTATTTCCAGTCCATTTTGAAGAAGAGCTGGAAATATACTATCCTCTCCGAGAGATTTGAAGGGCACATTCAACTGATGGTGCTACAATAACCTTTCTTGCGACGTCCCAGTCGTTCTTTTTTGGGCGTTTAGCGCCCTCGAAGATGGGTGGTCTGTTGTTATCAAGAGTCAGATTTCCAGGAAAGTGGTTTTCTATCAAAAGCTCTAACGTTTCTTTACTGGAGGTCGTAAATTTTCCATCGGGTTGTTTAAGCGACCCAATTTCAGCAGTCGGCTCTCTAGAGAGAATCTTGTGAATTCTTGCGCTGCGAGGTAAATCAGAGATACTCTCACAGAACTTCCTCCAAGACTCCCGTATTGCCTTTCTAATTTTCTTGTTGTATGACAAGGAAGGTCAGTTGGAGTCGTAAACTCGACATCCACCTCCTCGGTAGACTCGCTTCTGAACTAAATTCACAGGGAGGTCAGTTGAAGTCGTAAACTCGACATCCACCTCCTCGGTAGACTCGCTCCTGAATTAAATTCACAGGGAGGTTAGTTGGAGTCGTAAACTCGACATCCATCTCCTCTGTAGACTCGCTCCTGAATTAAATTCACAGGGAGGTCAGTTGAAGTCGTAAACTCGACATCCATCTCCTCTGTAGACTCGCTCCTGAATTAAATCTACAGGGAGGTCAGTTGGAGTCGTGAACTCGACATCCATCTCCTCTGTAGACTCGCTCCAGAATTGAATTCACAGGGAGGTCAGATGGAGTCGTAAACTCGAAATTCATCAGCTCTATAAACTCGTTCCTTAACTAAATTCACAGGAAGATCAGTTGGATTCGTAAACTCGACATCCATCTCCTCTGTAGACTCGTTCCTGAATTAAATTCACAGGGAGGTCAGTTGGAGTCGTAAACTCGACATCCATCTCCTCTGTAGACTCGCTCCTGATCTAAATTTACAGGGAGGTCAGTTGGAGTCGTAAACTCGACATCCATTTCCTCTATAGACTCGCTCCTGATTTAAGTTAACAGGGAGGGCAATTGGAGTCATAAGCAAGACATCTATCTCCTCTATAGACTTAGCGTCAGAAAGAATTTTTAGGTTCAGTCTGTCCATAAAAGTCGAACGAGTAGCTAGGAAAAGAAGGTCAATCACGGTAGAGCCCCGCATTACCGTGACAAGGCGATGCTATGACGATAGCGATGCTATCTCGAAGGTTCCGTAGAGACAGCTGATAGGCTCAGTGTCATTCATCCTCTCGGAACGAATACACACACCTTAGGATTAACCCATCGTTGGGATGCCATTCAGTTAGGTAATAACAGAACCACAAGTGATTCTGTCATTTCCGTATCCAGCGGGGCTGCGTGGAAGCAGGCATCCGATGACCGATTTGCTCGACCCCCAGATCCCAAGCCAATGCACTCGCCAAAAACAGCATGCACAATGGTTCAGGCAGTGAAAGATGAACAAAGATAGCCAACCCGCCCGACAAGGGGTATTCTTTACAGAAATTGGGCCTTTCAGGATTTGGGCAAATTTGGATATGCGGTTGGTTACCTCGTTCACGGACAAGTGGCGCGATGACAAACACGTTGTTTATCATTCGCTTCAGCCTAGTTCGAGGAATGATACTCTGAAAGGAATTGGATTTTCAATTAGTGAAAAACATCGACTCAATGTTGATGACAGACACTACTTTGCACTGACTAGCCAAATAGACCGAAACCGGTCTGCAAGTGTGTTCCAATAATTGAAAAGAATAACTTCCGTGGAGAATCCTGCTCTGAAACCTGCCGGATATAATCCAACGCCCTTCGTGACATTAGCCAGGGGGTAATTGTTGTCTGATAGGTGTCAGTCCGTTAATCTACAGTGTAGTTAAGACAGGCTTGAACGAATTGTTCTTGTAGATAATTCATTTTGAGCCAGTCTTCAAGTATACCCACTTACTTTATGTGAAATTTTCTTTCTACATTTGATCTGAGGAAATAATATAATTTTTTTTCAGATATAGCCGTAATGCCAAATTCCAATCACAAATAATGCACGACCGACCAATGAAACCTCTTGATGAAGCAGTATTTTGGTTAGAATATGTGATTCGGTATGCTGGAGCTCCACATCTCAAATCAGCAGCTCTAGATCTGAAATGGTATCAGCTATACCTGATTGACATCTTGATATTAGTTGGTTTGACTACCATAGCTTTATTTCTACTCGTCTTTTTCGTCATCCGATATATTTCTGACAAGAGCAGAAAATATATCAGTGAGTCAAAGAAGAATAAATAGTTAATTAGTTTTTTGTCGTCAAGAAACTTATTTTCCTTCAACAGACATCCACTAAGAATTCACCTTCACATAATAATGTCTATGAAAACTAGGAATCATAGTGCTGCCTTCAATATTTCCTTCTTGGAGGTCTAATAATGACGTGAAAAATATTTTAAAAAATCTAGAGGAAATGAGTAGATGATACATCAACAGCAGTAAAGTACGCATCATAAGGATCCTCAAGCATTAATAGATTTAATAAAACTATGACCTTGTAGTTTTTATTTCTTAAAATCGGATTGGATATGAGCCTAATTTCAGTTGTTACTTACAAAACATCGCTGTATCCATCAAAATAGGATCCAAGGGGAAAAGCACTCAAATCGCCGAGTGACGACTGAAGTATGATAAACTACTGGTTAGATAAATTAAAGCGTATTAGTCGTGGTTCGTGAAGTTAACTTCTTGAAAAGGCATTCAATGTTCAGTTTTCTAGATCAAAATGTTTCAGTGTTCTGTTTCACTGTGTTTCAATTTCAGTGCAAACAAAAACAAAGGTTATTTCGGTGTGACATTTCATAGGTGAGTTAATAAAACATTACAGGGCAGTATTGACCGTACTCGCCATTTTGTCTGAAGGTGGCAAGCAAGTTATTATTTATATAGCAGGATTCGTAGTAGAAAGTCTCTTAAAACTTTCACATTGTAATCAGTGCATTGATAGCTTGTTTTCTAATGAATCCAACTCTATGCTTCGATATGGGTTAAACACAAGGGTAATTTAATGTATCCCTCTGAACGTGCGAATTATGTGAAAAAATAATCAACATTATGTGGAGAGAAATATCGAAAGATCTGAATGAACAAAAGAATTGTCGCAGACTCTTTCGAGAAAAAGTTTGATGAAGCTATGTTCAAATAATTATCACTATGTGCGACAGACCAAACTTATGTTTTATCAAATAGGATACTCCGGATAGTTTTACTCGAATCAATTTTTTAGGCAGAGTGCTCCTCAAAAATTCTCAATTCACCAATCATCAGTCTTCACTCCCCAATTATTACTTTCACTCTTTACTCTTCTCACTTGTCTCTTTACCCTCCACTCTTCACTATTGACTCTCAATAGACTTCCTAAGTCCTGACGTCACAAGTAGGCGGAGCTTACCAAACTTTTCCAAACAAATCGATTTTACATGTTAAAACGCCATATGAAATTATTTATATATTTATTGTATGTGCTTGCATTGCTAATAAGGACATTCGCGTACATTTTTGATTTGGTGTCAGTTAGTTGTTACATATTTTTAAAAAAATCTCCATTGGTAGGTAACGTTTTCAATGAAAATTCAAGAATTTTTATGTTTGTTGAGGTTATGTTATTTTTTCAATTGAAATATGGTTACTCAACATCTATTGTTTAAGATTTCAGATATAGAATAGTTTCAAAACATGTTTTGAAGCTATCCTTTATAAATTAATTCCCCGACAATGATAATAAAATCATGAAAAAGGCTGAAGATGCCTTGGAATCGAATCATGTGGAAAGTATGCAGTTTGATGCTGACTTGATGATGATAAGTGGAAGAGGAGAAGTTCATGAAAGCATGAAAGATAAATTCTATCATGTTGAAGTGAGTCGTATGTCATGTATAAGTTTTCCATTTTTACCGAACAGTATCTTTGTTGCAGATCACACTGAATAAATCTGAAGATATCATATCTGCAAATTGTGCCTGTCCTAGAGTCCTAGAGGAATAAAATGTCATCATATCGCCACATTAGCTCTTTTTGGACACTACAATATATCTGTGATGGACAAGGAATATGATCCACTTTGGGCAGAAAACTTATCGCTGCTAGAAGATTTGTATATAAAACAGTACCTGCCAAAACTTACACACAATCTTACATCAGCTAAAACTTGACTCAGTATATAAAATTATTCCCAGATAATCATGTTAAGATAAAGTGTATTAGATATATGTAATAAATATTCAGGATGTACCTTCACTAATATTTCTGTAATAGTATCGAATATAGTAACTGTTGGGGACAAGCTCAAAATAATGGAAACCATATCGATCAGTTGTAATAGATAGTATTTATTTTTTTATGGCCACTACTGTAAATAGTAAATGAAATTCAAAGAATCCAATCAGAGAAATCATATATTTATTCACCAAAAGAATCAAAATTATCTATGTGGAAATGATACCATTTTCAGATTTAGAATGGCAAGAGTCTCTGTTTCAGATATTTCTGAAGGCTCTGCTGCTTCTGAACTTATATTGGTTGCTTCCACCTCAATCTCTCTTGCCTTGATGGTTCGTTTACTGAAAACAAAGTTACTTAATCCAAGAATAGTAATATCTTTCCTCATTCATGTGAACATACCTTCTTTCTGGAGATTTAAAATCGAAGTTCCTCTTCACATTGAATTCAAATAAAGTTGGTCTATTTTTTTTTTATCCATGTTAACAAACTGACAACTGCAAACTAATGAATGCTTTGATGGCTCTCGATCTTGTATCCTGCAAATTGATTTAACAATAAAATGCTTCATCTATGTATCAAGTATGATGATCAGGTACCTTATGAGATTAATCCACTTATTTCTCTTAGCTGGGTCTGCAGGAAACCCAAAAAATTTACAAATCCTTTGTTCACTGTAGTGTTTACAACTAGGAACAAAACACATAACCATGTTTACTGCAGTTTAGAAATCTGAAACAAAAGGAAAATGACATATAAAATGCTGTTTCAACACAAATTACTTGAAGATTTTTTCAAAAATTCTTAAATGTAAAATGAAAACATAATAATGATATGAACATTCAATACATGACCTAACAAATACTTCAGAAGCTGATGTAACTGAGAAATAATTACTTACGGGTCTCTGTTTGATATAAGTAGGTAGAAAATGCTCCTGCAAATATGAAATTATAACTGAAAAGGCTTATTTGTGCCCCACAATTGTTGAACATCCGCTGAAAGAAGCTCTTATAACAATTTTAATGCATTTGTGAATTGTTTGGAAAAGTTCGCTAAGCTCCACCTACTCTTGACGTCACACTTAGGTTGTCCATTCTTCATTTTTCATTTTAAGTTTTTCAATTTCCACTCCCGACTTTCCATACTTCACTCTCAACTGTCCACTTTTCATTTTCCACCCTCTACTCTCCACCCCTCCACTCTTCTTTCTCCAATCTTCACTTTCCAGCTTTCACTGTCCACTCTTTAGGTACTATCGACCATTCACTCTTCAAAATCCATACTTCACTCTTCAACTTCCACTCCTAAGTTTCCCCGTTCTCCACAGTCCACTCTTTACTCCACACCCGATTGTGAAATGAGGAAATTTTTCAATCATTTCAATCAAATATCCTTGAAGATAGTGTATTTTCCTTTCAGCTCCATAAGTTTATCGAACGGCGTTATTTTTGTAGAGGGGTAAACAAAACTCGGGATCACGTTTTTCTCAATTTTATCAAATAGTACACCCAGAATACTCCACACTATGAGCCTTCAGAAAATGTAACGATTGACTACTTCATTTCTATTAGAAATGTATCTTATTCTTGAGGTAACTACGAAGAAGTAATTGATTGAATCTATCTATAATTTTTTCTTGAGCTTCGATTACTGTTTATCTTGTAATTGATATTGATATCTTTTACCTGTTGTACTCTACTTGTTAGGTAATCAGTCATAAGGTCAGCCGACAGACCACGTATACCGTAATGGTGCAGCTTATTGAGTAAGATTTCGTGAGAAACTGTGTCGATAAACAATAAACGATAGAAAAATAAACTTCTTTGAGTAAATCTAATTTTCATCTAAATTTATTGGTTCCCCGCAGTAAACGAATCCCTCAACAAGATAATCAAAACACACGTTTGGTGTGCTTTATACTCCCTCTTTTCTTCTGAAACATCTCTTTCGAAAAGTCTGGAATCGTATATAATCCGGTCAATCTAGACAACGAAAGGTACATAAATTTACAACAAGCTGCAAACGCGTGTAATTGTTCAAAACATAGGTAAAAATAAGATTTTGATATTCTGAATGATTGCGATGCCTGGAAAAAAATTATTCAAGGTCAAAGGTCAAAAAACTCAAAAAAAAAATGTTTTTTTGCGATTTTCAGGAAAACGGTAATTCAGTTGAGGGGTAAGTATGTTGTCGCATTTCTTAAGGACGTCTTTTTCTCCGGCAATCATCTTTGGTAACGGGTTCCTGGACAATTTCGCATACGGTCCGTTAGTAATGAGAGTATTGACCCTTTCGTAGTTGTCCGTTTCAGCCAGAATTACTACTTTGTTACCTTTGTCGGCTTCCATATAAACCCTTTTCTCTCCTTTTCTCTCAATCGTCTGATAAATTTCTTTTGGGTTTTATTGTTGTTTATTGAATGCTTCCGTTTATCTGTTATCAGATCTGCATATTGTAAAATAATAGATAAGGCAAAATTGTAAAATTAATTTAAGTTGGTATACCTGTATGGTTTACGCCTGGATGGTTTACCTGTATGAGTTACCTTTATAGCTTAAATAGAATTAGCTCGCACTAGTTCTTAGGTTTAATCTTCCTCTTTGAAGATGATCACTTGGTGAGCGAAACAGTGTCGAGGTGTTTAAAATTACGATTTGGTGTTGGGAAAAGCGGAAAGATTATATAACATTTTTTTCTTCTTATCCTTTTAGCTTTGCAACCTAATATGTCTCAATGACGCTCGAGTGAATCCCCATTTTGTATCGTGGGCTCCCCTGCTATTTTATTCTGTAGAACAATGGCAGATGACGAGTGGGATCTTGTGAACATGGTTCTGAATAATAATACATCACGCTATCAGCGTTTTACTGAGAAGGAAAAACATAACCTCGATGCAAAATGTTGAGCTTGTATGGAAGCTGAAATGGGCGATAATGGTGACCCTTCTGATGACGGCGATTATGACACAGACCAGAATATGATTGGGATGCGTCCGGTGTTGAAGTTGAACGAAAGATAGAAATCGATGTCAAACAATGGCAGCCATTGCTACTCTTTGTCAGACTGAGACTGATGCAACTCACTTTATTTCAAAAAATGGTACGAAACGATACAAAGATCCTCCACCGAGCAGTCGTATACGTGCTCAATATTATCGACTACAAACAAAATAAACCATTACTAACGAAGAAATTGATTCATGATTCGCTTTCAATGTTTCTCTGATCACTGCAGNTGTGAATCGAATAAGCTAACGCTAAATATTTCTGAAACAAATCTGATAACAATCAGTCAAACAATAATTTAAAATTTGATACGCAAATTATTGCTTCAAATAGAATTTATCTTCTGGTTGCTTTGCCACAAATGTCATATCTCGTGAACTCGAATTTTCATCAGCAACAAATGCATACTATTCACTTATGGAGAGTAATTTCCTGTATTGATAGTCAAGTTGCAAGATTATCACCTTGATACCTGCGTTAGATTCAACCGTGCAGGGCTTTTTCGCTACTTGAGCGCAAACGTTCGCTAAACTGCTCATGGGGGATTTGTTCCTCCACCTGAGACCGATTCTGTGAACGCCGCAGCTCTCGCTCCTGAAATAAATTCACAGGGAGGTCACTTCGAGTCGTAAACTCGACATCCATCTCCTATGTAGACTAGCTCCTGAACTAAACTCATAGGGAGGTCCGTTGGAGTTGTATACTCAATATTCATCTCCTCTGTAGACTAGCTTCTGTACTAAATTTACAGGAAGGTAGGTAGGTAGGTAGGTCTAAAGTGAGTGGATCTATTCTACCCTCTACCACAACCCATAAGCGTTTATTGTGGCTCACACCTATTCACACTCGGCCAAATAATCCCAGCTTCTTAACGAAGCCCATTAGTTTGTATGGTGAGTGGTCTTTCAGGTCAGATGGTGAGAGTACGGATCTGCCGAACTCAAAGAACCTGATTCGATCCCCAGTGGGGCAGGCACAAAGTATATGCTCTGCAGTTTCATCATTTTCCAGACAGAGGCGATACACACTGTCTTCCGACAGTTCAAGTCTCTGCATGTGATGATTTCACGTTTGGTGTGCTTTATACTCCCTCTTTTCTTCTGAAACATCTCTTTCGACAAGTCTGGAATCGTATATAATCCGGTCAATCTAGACATTGAAAGGTACATAAATTTACAACAAGCTGCGAACGCGTGTAATTGTTCAAAACATAGGTAAAAATAAGATTTTGATATTCTGAATGATTGCGATGCCTGGAAAAAATTATTCGAGGTCAAAGGTCAAAAAACTCAAAAAAAATGTTTTTTTGCGATTTTCAGGAAAACGGTAATTCAGTTGAGGGGTAAGTATGTTGTTGCATTTCTTAAGGTCGTCTTTTACTCTCCGGCAATCATCTTTGGTAACGGGTTCCTGGACAATTTCGCATACGGTCCGTTAGTAATGAGAGTATTGACCCTTTCGTAGTTGTCCGTTTTAGCCAGATTTACTACTTTGTTACCTTTGTCGGCTTTCATATAAACCCTTTTCTCTCCTTTTCTCTCAATCGTCTGATAAATTTCTTTTGGGTTTTATTGTTGTTTATTGAATGCTTCCATTTATCTGTTATCAGATCTGTATATTGTAAAATAATAGATAAGGGAAAATTGTAAAATTAATTTAGGTTGGTATACCTGTATGGTTTACGCCTGGATGGTTGACCTGTATGAGTTACCTTTATAGCATAAATAGAATTAGCTCGCACTAGTTCTTAGTTTTAATCTTCCTCTTTGAAGATGATCACTTGGTGAGCGAAACACGTGTCGCGGTGTTAAAAATTACGATTTGGTGTTGGGAAAAAACTCCAGTAATATTCATTAAGCTTTGCAACCTAATATGTCTCAATGACGCTCGAGTTAATCCCCATTTTACATCGTGAGCTCCCCTGCTGTTTTATTTGTAACTGATGTTACACGTTTTATCAGTTACAAATGAAAGTGGTAAATAGAGATAGTTTAAAGAAACTGGAAATGATTTTTTTTAATAAGCTTAAAACAATAACTAACGGAAAATACTAGTTTTATTGTGAAAAAAGCGACGGGCGCTTGATATACAAAAAATATGGCACAAAGTGCCCAGGCTTTTTTAACAATAATACTAATATTTTTCGTTCGTTATTGTTTCAAGATTATTTTTTTTCAATTATTTTTAACTTTTTAGTTCGATGTTCTTTAAACGCGTGTTTTTCAGTTTTTAAAACTATATTTATTTTTCATTTTTTTGTTTCGTATGCTATGAAAGCGTGTTTTTTAGTCTTTTTGAACTACATTTATTTCATCTAAACTTTAGGATCAATCAGCCGTATACAGGGCTTTTCATGATGAGCGTTAATTAGCCGTTTCTGGCAAACTATTCAACGGATCAACCTGAAAATTCCACAGTATGCATACGTCAATATGACCTACACGCCTAAAATATTTTAGACGAAGCGGCGTTGTCGCTTCTACTATAAAGTAGCGGCTTCTTTGATTTTTCAAATGGAACACCCTGTATATAATATCATATTATGATTCATTATCAC